CATAAATTGTAAACCTAGGTCTTTTCATGTGTTTATGGTTGCTTTACATGATAATATTTCACCTGTCCTGTTTATGTAACACTTTAAAAATCAGCAAAAGGGTTATATAAATAAAATTTATTATGAAACAAAAGGCAAAAAACTATTATGTACATAGTTTAGTCCTATTCAGTGTCTACTCGGCGCTTCTTGGCTTGTCTCTTGTATTCATTAAATGGAGCATCTCTTGTCACTGTCCAGCAATAGTCTGCAAGCATTGATGGGCTTCATTTGCCCTGATAGCGTTTCTCCATTGTTGCAATGTCCTGGTGAAATGGCTCGCCGTGCTCGTCGCTCACTGCTCCGCAGTTCGGTGGAAACCTGGAGAGAGGAACAGACCTAAATGATCTTACTAGTACTAGTGAAACGGACCTACGTATAAAGGTAGATGGGGAATATGTCATATTGTGGGATCAAAGCTTCTGAGGTAACCCAATCCTTTAAACATAATCAAGAATAACATGTCTAAGCTATTCCAGCAGCATAACCTTTACTCGGCCCTCCAACATATATAAAGGGTTTGTAATATATTGATAAAATTGCAAATGGAGTACAGAATAAAAAATGGACAAATTTTTTTTTGAAATACAACCAAGTATTGCTTTAGTGCTTTTCTACCACTGTTCATGTCATCACTAGAAAGTAACAGTAAGAACACCACTAGCTGTCACCTTCAGCCCCCAACTGAAACCTGTCCAGTGCATCATCAAAAATCTGCAACCTATCCTGAAAGATGATCCCTCACTCTCACAGATCTTGGGAGACAGACCTGTCCTCGCTTACAGACAACCCCCCAACCTGAAGCAAATACTCACCAGCAACCACACATCACTGAACAAAAACACTGACCCAGGAACCTATCCTTGCAACAAAGCCCGATGCCAACTCTGTCCACATATCTATTCAAGTGACATCATCATAGGACCTAATCACATCAGACATACCATCAGGGGCTCGTTCACCTGCACATCTACCAATGTGATATATGCCATCATGTGCCAGCAATGCCCCTCTGCCATGTACATTGGCCAAACCGGACAGTCTCTACGCAAAAGAATTAATGGACACAAATCTAACATCAGGAATCATAATACTCAAAAACCAGTGGGAGAACACTTTAACCTGTCTGGTCATTCAATGACAGACCTGCGGGTGGCTATTTTACAACAGAAAAGCTTCAAAAACAGACTCCAGTGAGAGACTGCTGAGCTGGAATTGACATGCAAACTAGATACAATCAACTTAGGCTTGAACAAGGACTGGGAATGGCTGAGCCATTACAAACATTGAATCTATCTCCCCTTGTAAGTATTCTCACACTTCTTATCAAACTGTCTATACTGGGCTATCTTGATTATCACTTCAAAAGTTTTTTTCTCTTACTTAATTGGCCTCTCAGAGTTGGTAAGACAACTCCCACCTGTTCATGCTGTGTGTGTGTGTGTATATATATATATATATATATATCCTCAATATATGTTCCATTCTATGCAGCCGAAGAAGTGGGCTGTAGCCCGCGAAAGCTTATGCTCTAATAAATTTGTTAGTCTCTAGTACTCCTGTTCTTTTAGTAAGAACACAAAATTTATTTTTTTATCATCCAACTATCCATATCCAATTAATCCTGAGACTGGGATTTTTCCTCCTTCCACTCTCTCTATTGTGATTTGGAGCAAATCTTTGTACCATCTGCTGAGGTTTAAAATTGATTCCGGAAGAAAAATCTTCCCAGATTTGATTACTTCAGAAGCTGTAAATGTAGGTTATACATGAGTTGCATTTTTTGCATAAAGCTTTCTTTTGGGTAACAATGAACATTTTCTTCTCCAGAGAGAAAGGTCAGGTAGCTGGAGATGGATAGCTAAAGAATGAAAAATTTCTACTAAAAAGTAGAGATGGTCTAACTATTCATAGAAAAAACAATGTACACAGTAAATTCAGCCCTCAATTTTGTTTACAAATTATCCATGCGTTGACTCATTTTTACAAATTTGTTCAGTCACAATTATTTGACAAACCTTTAATGGGAACAAATTTCAATCTATAAATTGCTTGCAAACTATTTTTTTTTTTTTTAGTCTTTTCTGTATCTAAAGTAGATTCTGCTTAATAGCAACCTGCATATTAACAACTTCCAGTTAATAGCAATCTATTGCCAAGAACAATCCCATCCCATTGACTTTAATGTTAATGGGATTTGGATATTTGCAATGGCATGTTGCTTATTAAGAACATTTCTTTTGAAGAACAGCCCTAGCTGCAGGCAGGTTTGCAAGGCTGCAGCCACGGAAGGAAGAGCTGCGACATGCCTTCTTGGCTGTAGCCCCACAAACCTGCTTACTCACAAGGACCAGGAGATAAGGGGCTGCAGGCTCCCTGCAGTCTTCAGGCTGCACCCTGTCAGAGGGCTGCACCCAGGGAAGAAAGCACTGGGATATGCTGAGCTCTGATCCCTGGAGAGCACAGGGAGAAGTACTGTATACCTCTGCGAGCACTCAGCACCCTGGCTCCCCACAGAAAGCCCCAGCATCCAGGAAGCAGCCCTCCTCCCTGCAGCTACCCTGCCCACAGGAAGGTTTGCAGGACTGCAACCAGGGAAGGCACATCTCCGCACTTCCTTCCTGGCTACAGCCCCAGAAACCTACCTTCTGCTCATTTGCAACTGCTGGACAAAGGCAAAATTTTGCTGGCAATTAAGGGGTTGCTAATAAGCTGAATCTACTGTATTTGCCTTGTGTGATCATTAACCTAAGTTGTATGCTATAGTTCCTACTCCATAATTAGATGACTACAACTTCTGTTAAAGACAGAGGGCTTGAATTAGTCATTTGTGGCATGAAGGTTTGTGCTAACACATATGAGTATTCCAGCCACCTTTTCTTCCAGTGAACATTTTTGCAAACAAACAAAACAAAGCCCTCATACTAATATTCATGGAAAGGAGGTGTTAAAGGGATCACAAATGCTAAAGTGAATTTGAAAAAATAATCATAAATATATTTTCCAGTATTTACCTAGCTCTATGGGAACAAATGATTCCTTTCTTCATCTCATTTACATTCAACCATCATCAGTCTGGTATTTTACCAGATGTAATTAATCAATTAGGGAGGGATATGTTTAATTTATAGACTATATACAAATGTGCAGGTTTAGACTTAATAGATTCAGACGTGTTATATTCTGTAATATCCTCCAGGCTCAGGAAGTCATGCTTATACTTGGATATCCAGTTATCCAATGAAATTATGTAAAGAGAACCATGTACTTAATTTAAAACACATGGGCAGTCCTACTGAAAACAGTGAAAATACTCACATGCTTAAAATTAAGCATGTGCATAAATGTTTGCAATGTTTGGATATTTCTCAATCCACAAATGAAAGGTGATTTCTCATATGCAATGTGCTGCGATGCTTATATCTGTCTTGCTATGAATACTTTATATCAGTGGTTCCCAAACTGGGGTTCGTGAATCCCTGGGGGTTCGTGAAATGTTACAGGGGGTTCTTGGGAAAAAATTCCATAATGGCAGACAGAGCTGTCCCTAGGGACCCTGGGCAGCACGGGGCCAGCAGCACGGGGCCCGCAGCACGGGGCCCCACTGGACTTCCACGAGCTAAGCAGATCAAAGCAAGCATATCTATCATACTGAGGAGATTTAAACTTCAAGACTCCTTTTAAGAAATGGAAAGGGAGGTGGATATTTTTTGGTGTTTTTAAAATTAAATAGGCAGCTAGTATTGTTTTTTTTTTTTAATTATTATGAAGAACAAGTTTAAGCTTTGTTGTAATGTGCATTGTTTGCCTGGACTGCTCAAGACCTGAATGCTTGTGTAGGAGGAACTCTTTGAGTTGGCTTCTTAAATACCTTCATGATGTTTCACATCTGATACTCCTTGATGAAACATAGGAGCCTTGTCTTCTAACAGGCTTATTCAGAGTGATACAAGCTATGAAAATGAGATATTGGAAGAGTGTCGCCATTTTCATAATGTAATAAAAATACTGTAATGATTAATAATAATAAATAATAAATAGTGTGTAATATGCATGTCATAAAAACAAATTTTATATTTCCCAGATCACTGCTTTTATAATTTATACTCAGATAAAGGAGAAAATCCCTGAAAATATTCATTTTTAGGAGGGGGTTCGCGAGACTTGACATTTTAGTGAAAGGGGTTCACAGGTTGTTGAAGTTTGGGAACCACTGCTTTATATGTTTTGTTCTCCCTAACTGTTGGGTAAGATAGACTACAAGGAAGATTGTGTTCCCACTAACAATTTACACATGCCATTGCTCTTGGGTTGTCTACCATAGTCAATATCTTTGGCAATCTCTATAATGATTACACAAAGGTACACAAAAGAATTAGGTAAGTTCATGGAGGATAGGTCCACCAGTGGCTATTAGCCAGGATGGGCCGGGATGGTATCCCTAGCCTCCGTTTGCCAGAAGCTGGGAATGGGTGACAGAGGTGGATCACTTGATGATTACGTGTTCTGTTCATTACCTCTGGGGCACCTGGCATTGGCCCCTGTGGGAAGACAGAATACTGGGCTAGATGGACCTGACCCAGTATGACCGTTCTTATGTTCATATTACATGCCTACCCTTTTGAAAGCCAAGCATCTTAACAAAAGTAACATTATTACTTGGTGATGTAAAGATACAAAACGAAAACCTCTGTTTGATTTCTGGAAGGGGAAATTCTCTTTTTTCCCCTGCAGAAAGTTAACTGTTTCCTTGCTACATCATCAAAATGTTGCTGGAAACTAGAAATCAACTCAGAAGGCAAGGAAATTTTGTGTGAAACTTTTTATTATGGCAATGAGTATTTAAAAGCGCAATCCAAATTATGATAACTACAAACAAACAACCCACAACCTAAACTTTAAACAATAAGTGAACAAAACAAGAGAAGTTAAAGTAAAATCCTGATATAGTAACAACTTACTTGATGATTTCTTTGCAGTCTGTTTCTCAGGACCTGACATATTTCAATCATTTGTATAAGTTCAGCTCGGGCAACTAGTATTTCAGAGGAATGGTTTTCAAAGTCAAGTAAAGACCTGTGTATAAAAAAAAATATGCATACATATATGTTCATATATATAGTAAAGCTATATTATGTACCGTTTCAAATTTGTACTAGAAGCAACACAAAATAATATTTGCAACCACAACTCCTTCGGTAAAGATTCAAAAGGTAAGCATCTGAAGCAAGATCTGTTTTTAAGTTTTGAAGAAATCAAGTTTTTTTTCCAGTTGGGTTATGTCAATGCAGATTTTGTAGATATTAAAGCAAGCCTCTTTATAAATCAGAGATGCATTTATATTTAGACATACTAGGCAGACAAACTGAATACAGATTTCAAAAGTATGTTTGGAAAGCACAGTTTAGGCTAGATAACAACGTGCTATAGAAGTTCTTTGATCCTTTGAAATATTTAAGAAACCCTAATGTTCCCCCATCTAATTCTCTGCTAGCTCTTATTTTTAAATTATCACATCTTTACTAATAGGCATCCAGGATCCCCTACTGTTCCTAAGAAATATAAGGCTTTGCCTAAACTTTAAAGTTAGATTGACATAGCTATGTCAGTCAGGGGTGTGGAAATAAAACAGTCCCTGGCTGACATAGCTTTGCCAATCTAAACCCCAGCGTCGATGCAGCTATGTCGATGGAAGAATGTTTCCATCCAGATAGCTAACTTCAGGGAAGTGGTGTTCCTACACTGTTGGAAACACTTCTCCCATTGGTGTAGGCTGCGCCTATACTACAGGTTTATGCCAGCATAGCTACACTGATGTAGCTATGCCAGTATAATCATCGTAGTGTAGACATACCCTTAGTTAGCTATCACTAATCTTATTAATCTCTTAGGATATTTCAGAATCCTGATTGGCTAAAAGAGGTAGAACACTGCAGCAGAGGTAAGACATCTCACATTTACATTTATTTTAACACTTGAAAATCCAAAGAATGCTTACACTGCAACATATAACAGAATGCTTTATAATACATTACTGTTGAGGTTGCAACAGTAATGTATTATATTACTCTTAGGTTGCAATCAAGTAATAAATTTGCATTAGGGACACCAGAATTCTTTGACTAGGTAGTTCTTTCACTCTTACCACTTTATTGTTTTTATTATTATTGGTTTTCAGCAAATATTTGTTTGGCGTCAATCACTATGGTGTATGGGTGCCTTATAAGGTTTAAACTGAAATAATCAACATACTCAATATAGACCAAACACCATGCGGTCCTGCTGCATGTAACTTAATTCCATAAGAGGTTCATAACATCATTTTAGGCACCAAGAAGATGGTTGAAAGAAAACCAAAAAATGAAACATTTTTGTAATTCTTTAATTTCAACTGTAAATAGAGGACCTCAGCAAATCTGAACAAAGATTTATTTTTTTTACCGATTTTTACTCTAAATAAATACCCTGTCTCATTAGTGACAGATTGCGAAGACATCACTGCAACTTCCTCAGAGCATCCATCTTTGTCCTCTTAGCTAACAGCCTGTCCCTTTATTAAAATCTATTCTATGGCCCCAGTTCTGCAATTAGATATGCGTGAGTGTAGACCTCCATCTGAGCAAACCTTATAGAGCGTACCAGGGCCTATTGTTATAATATTTAACCTGTTTTAATAGTTTATACTAATGAAAATTTTAAACACAGTTGTTTTTTAATTTTCAACTTTTTTCATTTGCATATGATATAACATCTCTAAAATGTAATATTTTTTCATTAATGAACTTGACTGAACAATAATACTATCTATACTCGGGGTGAAAGTAGGCCGATACATCTGGTACAACGTACCAGTAAGAAGTAGCCACTGGTACAAGCCCATACGCAGCTGACGTTTATCTCTGCCCATTTTAAACACGGCCCACCCACCCCTGTGTCGGCAGGGCCGCTGATGGGGGGGGGGGGAGGAGATAAAAGTGGCAGGTTCCCCAGGGCCTGGCGATTTAAAAGGGCCTGGGGCTCCCAGCTGCCACCACTGCTACTACCACAGCAATGGCTGGAGCCCCAGGCCCTTTTAAATCTCCGCCAGAGCCCTGGGCAACGCAGGCCAGGCAGTGCAGATGAGCTGGCTGGGAAAGGCTGACCCCAGCCCCACCCCTTCCACCCAAGGCCCCGCCCCTTCTGGTGGCCCAGAGCCAAGCCCCCATACCGGTAAGTCTTCTATGTTACTTTCACCCCTGACTATAAGAGTATAGCAGTAGGAAACACCTGACTAGGATAGTGATGGTGATTGTGAAATGCTCAGTTAGATGAGAGAGGCTACAAAGGCATAATAATAACGGGAGATTTCAACTATCCTCATACTGAGTAGGGAGGGGCGTGTCATGTTAGGAAGGGATGCAAAGAAAAAATTTCTAGACACCATAAATCACTGCTTCTTGGAGCAGCTTGTACTGGAACCCACAAGGCAAGAGGTAATTCTAAATGTAGTCTTAAGTGGAGCACAGGATCTGGTTTAAGAGGTGAATATAGCTGAATTGCTCAGTAATAGCGATCATAATGTAATTAAATTTAACAGCTTTGCAGAAGGGGAAATGCCAAAGAAACCCACCACAGCAGCATTTAACTTGATAAAGGGAACTACAAAATATGAGAAAGCTAGATAAATGGCAATTAAAAGGAACAATCACAAGGGTGAAATGCTTGAAAACGGCATGGAGACTATTTAAAAACACTGTAATAGAAGCTCAAACTAAACGTATGCCCCAAATAAAAAAAAAAAAAAAAAGAGGAGAACCAAAAAATGCCACCAACATAGTAAAAGAGGCAGTTAGAGGCAAAAAGGCATCCCTTAGAAATTGGAAATCAAATCCTAACGAGGAAAATAGAAAGGAGCATAAGCTGGCAAGTTAAGTGCAAAAATACAATATGTCAGGGCAAGACAGAATTTCAAGAATCTACCTAAGGACACAAAACCTAACAGCATTTTTTTTTTAAATAGACCAGAAGCAAGAAGCCTGCAAAGCACTCACTGGGGCATCTCAGCAATTGGGGTGCTAAAGGAGCACTCAAAGAAGACAAGGTCGTTGCTGAGAAGCTAAATGAATTCTCTGCATTGGTCTTCACTGTAAAAGATGTGGGGAAGATCCCCGCACGAAAGCCATTCTTTTTAGGTGACAAATCTGAGGAACTGTCCCAGATTGGGGTGTCAATAGAGAAGTTTTTGTAACACAATGATAATTTAAACAGTAATAAGTCACCAGGATCAGATGGTACTCACCCAAGAGAGCTGAGGGAACTCAAATAGGAAATTGCAGAACTACTAACTATGGAAGGAATATTATCACTGAAATCAGCCTCTGTATCAGATGGCTGGAGGGGAGCTAACATAATGTCGATTTTTTTAAAAGGCCCCATAGGCAACCCTGGCAATTACAGGCTGGTAAGCCTAACTTCAGTTCCAAGAAAATAGTTTGAAACTATAGTAAAAAACAGAATTATCAGACACACACATAAACATGGTATGTTGGGGAAAAGACCACACGGATTTTAGAAAGGGAAACCATGTCTTACCAATCTATTAGAATTCTTTGAGGAGTCAACAAGCATGTGGACAAGGATGATCCAGTTGATATAACATATTTGGACTTTCAGAAAGCCTTTGACAAGGGCCCTCACCAAAGGCTCTTAAGCAAATTAGGCAGTCCTGGGATAAGAGGGAAAGTTCTCATGGATCAGTAACTGGTTAAAGGATAGGAAACAAAGGGTAGCAAAAATGGTCAGTTTTCACAATGGAGTGAGGAAATTAGTGGGGTTCTCTGGATCTGTAATGGGACCAGTTGTGTTCAACATATTCATAAATGATCTGGAAAAGAAGGTGAGGTGGCAAAATCTGCAGATTATATGAAATTATTCAAGATATTAAATCCAAAATTGACTGCAAAGAGTTACAAAGAGATCTCACAAAACTGGGTGACTGGGCAAAACAATGGCAGATGAAATTCAGTGTTGGTAAGTGCAAAGTAATGCATATTGGAAAACATAGTCCCAACTATACAAACAAAATGATGGGGTCTAAATTACCTGTTACCACTCAAGAAACAGATCTTGGACTCATTGTGGACAGTTCTCTGAAAACATCTGCTCGTCATGCAGCAGCAGTCAAAAAAGCTAACAGAACATTAGGAACCATTAGGAAAGGGATAGGTAAAAAACAGAAAATATCATATGCCCACACCTTCAATATCACAGTTCTGGTCGCCCCACCTCAAAAAGGGTGTATTAGAACTGGAAAAGGTGCAGAGAAAGGCAATAAAAATTATTAGGCATATAGAACCGCTTCCATATAGGAGAGATTAAAAAGACTGGGGCTGTTCATCTTAGAAAAGAGACGACTAAGGGGGGATATGATAGAGGTCTATAAAATCATGAATAGTGTGGAGAAAGTGAATAGGGAAGTGCTATTTACCCCTTCACATAAAACAAGAACTTAACCCAATTAAATTAATAGTCATCAGGCTTTAAACAAACAAAAGAAAGTATTTCTCCCATAACACACAGTCACCCTGTGGAATTAATTGTCAAGGGATGTTGTGAAGGCCGAAAGTATAACTGGATTAAAAAAAGAATTAGATAAATTCACAGAGGATTGGTCCATCAATAGCTATTAATCAGGGATTCAACCCCATGTTCATGGTGTCCCTAAACCTCGTGCCACAAGCTGGGGATGGATCACGGGAATTTGCCCTGTTCTGTTCATCCCCTTGGAATTATCTGGCACTGGCCACTGTCAGAAGGCAGGATACTAGACTAGATGGACCATTGGTCTGACCCAGTATGGCCATTCTTATTTCTATAAAGTAGAAGGAAGAGATGGATTTCAAAAGAGGGTAGGAAAGTCTTTAATATTTTCTGATGAATTACCTCTGCTCTGGAATGCATTCCCTCTAGTCCAACAGTATCAAATTTAGATTACATTTAGGTTGTACTGTGACGCTCAGCCTATTTATTCAGGATTTTTTTTTTTTTTTTTTTGAGGGTATGGCCAAATGGAGAGGGTTTTTATTGTGGTGGGGAATGAGAGAGAGAAATGTGTGTAAGGGTTAATATCCATATTTGTCAAGTCAGGTATATTTTTACATGTATTTTTTTAAATAGTTATGTAAGTGCACCCTGAGGTTTCAAATGGTACACGATAAAAGTTATAGGAACAAATACATACCTGACAGATCAGATTACAAATGGGGCTAAATTTGCCCTCTATTTGTGCCCCCGGGGCTATTGTGTGCACTCTCTTTTGTGTACTATAGCCTTCAAGTGCAAATGAAGTCTGTATATGTCAATTCTATAATTTCTAAAAATTATACCATGCAAACACATATGTGAAAGACACCATCTACAAAAAGCTGCATGTAGTAAAGGAGAGACCACATTCTAAAAATTTGACTCAGTAAGTCAACTTACTTCGACTTGAGTAAGGCATTGAATATTGTTCCACAGCCCCTCCCCATAGTTAGTGAAATGCAGATTGAGCATAAGATGAATATGCAACGGACTACACAGAAAATATTTTTTTAAAATAAGTGCAACTACTGATTAGTTGTCAAGTTCAGAAGAAGAATCAAGTGAGATCCCAAAGGACTCTGTTTTGGGCCCAAGACCATTCTATTTTTTCTATAACAAATTCTTGTAGGATAAAAAGCAAATGGGGATAGCAAATGCTATGGAAAATAAAGTTTAATCTTCAAAATTCAGACAGATAATTTCCACTATTCTAATTTACCTAGGGCATAAATCCACGGCGCACATATTAGTAAAAGTAAAAGGTGACATTTACACCTGCATAGAGGGCCCGCACAAGCCCCTATGGCATATTTAAAGCCCTTAACATTGGACTTACAGTGTCCACCCAGGGCCTGGTGTAGGACCTCAGCATTAGGGCAAATTTCGTCAAAGAAAATGGCAAAACATACAAATGTTTGCTCTGTTTCCTTACCTGAGTTTCTCAGTCAGAGACTCTAAAGAATTCTTTAACTCCAGCATAAGGACTGCTCGAGAACTTAATCCTTCTGTAAGTAGGACCACCTATTGGAAAATAATTCATAAAATTATTTCTAAATGCATATGGAGAGTATTTATTTTTTCTTCTGCAAATACATTTTATGAAGCATTCTGGTCAGATGTTACTTATTATCTTGCTCCTTATTATCCTTATAATCTGTCATTTCCCCCCTCAAGAACTATTTTATTTTTATGCTTTTCATTCATTCATTCAGTAGTTGTATCTCATCTAATAAAATAGAGAGCTCAGTTATCATGAGAATATAGTACATGAACAAGTATAACAAAGTACAGAAAAAGTAATACGAATGCTTTAAGCAGCTTTTTATTTTTAAGTAGTTAGTTTTGTTTATTGCAAACAACCTTTAAAAAGGCAAATTGATCACTGGTTTATAAGTCTGTCACCATGAATCTTCCTAAAAATTATAGATAATCAGTGTATTTTAGAGAAAATCCCTGTCCCCCTCTCACCCATCCATTCCACCAGTCAGTGGCCATCAAATTCTCTAACTCAAATTTTTGTTTTAGTTCAGTTTTTAAAACATCTGGCATCTTCATCCCACCTACAACCAGAACCGGCCAAAAATATTTTGGCCTAATACCTTATTTGCCAAAAAATGCAGTTTTGATCAACCCAAAACAATTTATGAATTTGACTTGAATTCGCTGACTTGTTTCGGACCCCAAATTTTTCAGGGGGTGGGACTAAGATACCAAGCAGCGTTGGTGTGCATGCTCCCCCCTTATAATCTTTAACCCAGTGATTAGGGCACTCACCAAGAATGACGGAGATCCAGGTTCAAGTTCCCCCTTTTCCTGATATGGAAAAAAAGGTTTGAACTTGGGTCTCCCGCATTTTAGGAGAGTGTCCTAGCCTATGGGATATTCTGGAGCAGGTTTCCTTCAATTTCTCCAGCTGAAACTGTAACCATTTTTTATAAAAAAGAAATTGATAATCACTTCAAGCAGGAACTTGAACTCTGGTCTCCTACATTCTAGGTAAGTGCCCTAACCACCAGGTTTGTCTGTCTCTCTTCCCCTCACGCCAGGACTATTCTTTGTCATTATGAATGACTGTGAATTACAGCTTCCCCAGCAGTGCCACCTAGAGGAGACTGTAGGTTCAGTGGCTGTTCCTCATCCATTCCCAACACTCCCTTTCAAGTGGACTTTTCTGAAGTTGTGGCAGAATCCACCACTGCAATATACAGGGCAGACGCCCCTATGCCACACTTTTCATGTTCAGTGTTACTGTGTGGGTTCCAGGTGCAAGCCCTCCACAACGTAATAAATTTTAATAAAAATACAAAATCTGACCATATCAAAATGCTAGGAAAGTAATTCAGAATAAAACTTCCTACAATACGGACCAGAATCATCGGTGTATGAGACAGAGATTTTCTCGGGAGTTGGCCCAAGACTGGAATGAATTCCCCCAGGAACCAAAACCTCACCACTTTCTGCTCTAAGTGAAAGGTGCATGTCTAGGACCTTGCAATCTGTAAGATAAACATATAGCCAATGTGTGCGTGTGTGTATGCGCACCTGTGTGCACGCACGTGTGTAAATTCCAAAACAAAACACTGCATAAACTTCTTCCCTTGGGAATCAGATGAGAGAACAAATTTGTGACAGATATTATTATTCATTATTTGTATTACAGCACTGACTAAGAGGGGGACCAGGACTCCATTGTGCTAAGTGCTGTATAAACACAGAAAAATATTAGTCATGCTGCTCAATGCACTACTGGAAGGCTCTCAGATGCTAGAATGATGAACATGGTGTAAGAACCTATACAGAACATGAATTGCCATATACAAAAATTCAACATAAATATCACTGTTTGTAGCTATTCTTGGTTCTCATACATACTCAACTAGGACTTGGTAGGTAACTGAAATGCCAAGGAGTAAATTTTCAGTGATAGAATTTAGACATCAGGTGCCATTAATGTTAATGCATCTAAATCCCTGTGCATCATGCTAAAAATTTCCATCTCACTGTTCAATTATCCTTCTCATCCACTTACAAGGCCCTTTTATGTATGTTACAAATACAGCTTCATAGCCTTAAGCTCTCAATTCCTTTTCTCTTGGTGAAGACATATTGAAAGGGCTTTAAAACTTTTCACATTTATATAAGGTGTAGAAAGTAGCTGTCAGATAGCTTGAGCTCAACATTCAACTTCTTAAAGCATGTTCCACTCTGAAATATTAAGTAAAAATGGCATCTTCTTGTTCAATATGTTATATGTTTAGTATATCTGGCTTATTTTAGTGACAAAAATAAAAGATTTTATTCTTCAGCTCTGTGTAGCTCGAAAGCTTGTCTCTTTCACCAACAGAAGTTGGTCCAATAAAAAAATCTGACCTCACACAACTTGTCTTACTAATATCCTGGAACCAACATGGCTACAACACTGCAAACTATATATGTATATCTAATTAGAAATTGGGACTACTTTACTTATAAAACTTTTGTTCAATATTTTGGAGGCCTACAGAACTACATTTTCTTGGGGGTTTTACAGATTAATTGAAATCCTAAGAAAAATCTCAGGAAAATTCCAAATTTATCAGCATCAAACAGCTTTTTCTGAATGGTAGAGCAGCAGTAGTCAGTGGGAACTCTGCTATTACCAGTGAAAAAAGAACAGCCAGATAATAGACAGGCAACACTATACCTCCTTAGTGTTAATGGATTGCTGCTGGGTATGAAGGAAGAACTGTCCTTCCTATAAATCTAGAGAGAGTCAAGGTGGGTGAGGTAATATTTTTACAGGACCAACTTCTATTGGTGAGAGACAAGATTTCAAGCCACATTTGAAAGCTTGTCTCTCTCACTAACAGAAGTTGGTCCAAAAGAAGATAGTGCCTCACTCACCTTGTCTCTCTAATATCGTGGGACCGACACAGCTACAACTACACTGCATACTACAAGTCTATAATCATGGAGTTCTTTCCAGCCTTGTGCTAGAAGTGTGGACCACAATGCTGAGGATCTACTATTGTACACCTGCCTTTGAACAAAAATGCTATTTCCACATTTGAGCAAACAGTTTCAGAAGAAAAAAAAATTATTTGAAATACAAACAGTTCTCATTTCCTATGTGTCACATTATTACCTGCCTCTCCAGCTGCATTACTTGTGCCTTCAAAAGACTGACACGTCTTTCATCAAAACATTCACTCTTCCCTTCTTCTATAAGCTGTTCATACAGACTTCTAGGAAACAAAATATTGCACTACATATTATGAAGCCAAGTATAATAAAAAATCCCACAAGATGACCTTTAAAACATTTTGATGTAATTCTAGAAATTATTCTGAAGCACAAATCACACTTTCAGCCTCAATTTGCAAAACTGCACATACAGTCAGTAAATGTAAGGTAAAGGGTGAATGAATGTTCATGGTTTGGGCTGCTGTGCCCCTGACATGAAACTGTATGGCCCATATTATTACTCCCTTATAATGCACGTATCCACCAATCAAACTGAGACAGAGGTCTGGACTGAATTCCCTGGGCAATGTCCCCTGACACCCTTGATTCTTTTTTGTAGCAGTCGGCACTGTTAAGGGTTATCTGCTCAGTGTCTCTCCTTCTGTATCCCTTTTTTGAACCTGTGATCTCACTCCTGTTACTGTTTTTTTCATTATTTGTCCCATGGTTTAGGTGAGAGAGAGAGAGAGAGAAAGAGAGAGAGTGAGTGGCCATTCTTCTGTTGAGGGCTGACCATGTTTCTTTCTTTGGGACGGAGCCCTCGCCTATCCCACCCTCTGCAAAAAAAAAAAAAAAAAAAAAAAGATCAAATAGGCCAGGATAGAGACCTGAATGAAATCTAACTGGAAATACAATGCCCTTTTATGTACTAACATGTTATGAAATAATGTAAAAATATAAATACATAAAAATATAAAAGTGAAAAAACATTTCTAAAGAAACATTTCATTTTGAAACACATTTGAATTTTTTCTTAAACAAAATTTTCTACAATGAAATATTTTTCATTGTGGAAATACTTGTTTTCATGGGAAATTTCATTAAAATCAATAAAATTCTGCAAAAAAAAAAATCAGTTTAATTGAAATGCAATTTTCTAGTAAAAAAATTGAGAAAATTTTCCAACCAGCTCTAATTAGGAATCAGCTCTTATGAGGCATCCTCCTGTCCCTTTAACTGGCAAGCAAGCACAAGCAGTTCTTCAGATACATACTCTCATTTTATCTGAAATAGCACATGTGGTTTTGAAGTTACAACTCTGTTTTTCTCTGAAATGAGCATGCACAGTGACTACACGCTAATCTTTAATTCTGCATTTATATCAGTGTTAATGTCCCCTGCTAGAATTTTAAAACACTTGGAAGAGAGATTAAATCAGAATCAATAATGTAACTGACTCTGAAATACATATTATATACACACACACAAAGTTATATATATATATATATAAATAAATAAATAAATAAATATAAAACTTTACCTTATAGAAGTTATTAGTTAACATGTAAATGGCACTGGTGCTTTCTTTAGAGACAGAAAAGCAGGGGGAGGGGAGTTTCAGTTGTAAATTGCTTTCTTGTTCTCTCTCTTCTTTTTTTTTCCCTCACCCCCAAATAGGAATGTGAGCTCCTTCTTGTAGCCATTTACTACTAGCCATAAACTATTGAATATTGATACCTTAAATCTTCTAGTTCATGCTTTAATTTAGTATTTTCCTCCTGAAGTTTCTGGAACCAAAACAAAAAGAGTTTATAAATACAAATAATACATCAAATATAAAATTTGATCTTTAAAATATACAGAAACATTTTATTATTATTTAATATTTAACTATAAGTTTTACAAGTAATAGCCACCATATAAGAAATATAAACATCCAACTGATGCAGTATTTTAGATTAAATAATTGTAACTAACAAAAGACCATTTTAGATTATTGAAATCTGACATTCTTTGCCTTAAAACCAGGGTTGGGGGAGGATTATAATAATAATATTTGCATTTGAAATTATTTTCATCCAAAAATATTTATTTGTTGTTTTCAAATCTGCATTTCCCCTAAGAACCAATCATTTCAAATTACTGGACGGCATTATTTAAAAACAAATGGGGCTAAATTTTCATAATATGCATTACTCACAAAAACCTGCATATATGCATGCAAACAGGCAGAAGGATAGTAAAGTGCATAACTATTCAAACAAGTTAGTTAGTCTGCATGTACAAGCATGGAGTTTTGCAGGTACTTTGTACACTTCTTTTAAATCTTGACCCAATGAGCCACAAACATTTTTTAAAAACTTAGGTGCCAGGTAGGACATGTGAAATAAAATCTTAACTATCTTGGCTTTTATGCTTAAAATAATAATATTAATATTGATACATAGAATCAAACTGGAAACTATGCTCATTTCCACAGCACTTGTTGCCAGGGCAACTAGGCAGTTCCAATGTAGAGATTAAAACAAAAATTAAAACACAAGAGAAACAAGATAAATGCATATTGCATTATGCCCTGAAGATTGCTAGACCTAGGCTCTAAGGATTTCCAAGGGGAGAGAATTGCAAAGGTCAGAGTGGTTAACTGAGAAAGCTTGTTTATTACTATTCTAGTTTAAAAACCATTAAACTTAACTTAAAATTATATCATTAATTTACATAGCTTTTACAAAACAGAGCAAACATTCATGCCCCCAAAAAATTATAGTCTAATTAAGGCAAACATGAGGCAAGACAAAGGGCAATAGTTCTGAGGAGGAAGGGTGTGGGGATTATTTGTGATGAGAAGAAGGGAGAAGCAACTAAGCTAAGAAAAATTGGTGGAATGGTAAATAATGATGGGTACAGGACAGTTATATAGAATGACCTGCATCACTTAAGAAAGTGGGCTCTTGTGAACAAAACATTCATTTTAACACAGCCAAATGGAAAGTCATATCTAAAAACAAAGAATGTGGGTCACACAAAATGTGTCCCGCAATGCAATGACAATGAGAAAGACTTAAAGGTCATGGAAGGAAACCTACTTGATCATGAGTTCCCAGTAGCTAATAGGGCTAATGTAATCCTTGAATGTATAAGCAGGTGAATATCAAGTAGGAACAGGGATGTTGTATTACCTCTATCTATGGCCTTAGCATGATCATTACTTGAATACTGTGTCCAGTTCTGGTGTACATACTGCAAAAAGGATGTTGAAAAACTGAAAAGGGTTCAGAAAAGTGCTACAAGAACGATCTGTGGTCTGGAAAATATTTCTAGGTGAGATACTTAAGCAGTTCAAGCTATTTAGTTTATCCAAGAAAACATCAGGAGGTGACTTGATCATAGTCTGCATGTACCTACATGGGGAAGAAATATCTGATAGTAGGACTCTCTAATTTAGCAGATAAAGGCAGAATAAGATTTGAGAGCTGAAGCTAGACAAATTCAGACTACAAATAAGGCACAAATGCTTAACAGTGAGGGTAACTAACCATTATCATCACTTACCTAGGGATATGGAGGATTAGGGTTACCATACGTCCAGGTTTTCCTGGACATGACCTCTTTTTTGGTCCTCTTTGCTGGTGGCAGCACTGCCTTCAGAGTTGGCTCCAGCCACCCAGCTCTGAAGGCAGCACCGCTGCCAGCAGTAGCACAGAAGTAATGGTGGCATGGTATGGTATTGCCATAGAAACTCTACCCTTCCTCTCCCTCTACCTCCCATTTCCCCTGGCAGTGTCTTCTATTTGAGAACTTGAAATATGGTAATCCTATGGGGATTCTCCATCACAGTGAGACTTTAAATTGAGACTAGACATCTTTCTAAAAAATACTCTATAGCAGCTATGGGCGTGATAAGGAAATTACTAGGTGATGTTCTGTTGCCTGTGTTATACAGGGAGTCAGATCAGATGATCATTATTACAGACCTTGCTAAGTCCCTCTTGTGGGTGGTCACCCTAGGCCCTGAAACCATTGCTGAACCTCTAACTTCCTTTTGTGAGTCTCCAGGTTTGGGCTAAGTCCTTAGGGAAGGCAGAATCCCTCCTGCCTCCTCTCCTCTCACTAAGCCTTCTCGTTCTGGCAATGGGAAAGAACCCTTTTTAAAATAGTCTCTGTTCCTCTTTTGTTAGATAGTCAGCTGGAGAAAAACTGCAGTTCTTCCAGTCATATGCTCAGGCCAAGGAGGATTTCAGCCTCGCCACCCAAAAAACAGGTTTCTGTGAAGTGGAGGGGCAAATCTGAGACCAGACACTGAAGAAATTACTTCTAAAAAGTATAAATTTTGAGTCCAAGTTTTGCTGTATTAATAATAGTGTGTGATTCTTCATCACAGGGATAAATAGATTAATGACCTCCATATCTGATGCCTTGATGTGAAAGTAAACTATTTAAAACAATACTCATACTGGACATTTTTTTTAATTAAACTCCTCTGTGTCTAGACAGTATGCCAAAGAGATTATTTCAGAAAGATCATCACCATACTTGTCTAATAAATGAGAGCACACATTTTTAGAACTTAAATTTTTAAGAAATGTCAGCCATTCATGTCTACCTTTTGGTTATATCCTGAGAAATTCCTATTCAGAGGAGGAGTATGAAGTTCATGGTTTTGTTCATCCCTTTTTAGCAGTGAATTATCTTGACATCCTGGACTCATGGAGAGGTGGCTGCCTGCAGGGTGCTTGGGTAAGTGCCTTCCAACCTTTAAAACAAAAACACAGCCGCAACTGTAAAAACAAGAATTTTAAACACAGACAGAAGAAAACCCTGCCAACTTTTGACAAATCTTTGTTGGCAGCAGCTAAGCTGACAAAACTAAAAAATGATGACTATTTAATGTGGTTAAACCAACCAACCAACATGTAACTAATAGTGCAGATAACTTGATATGGATGTATCCAACTCCAAATTTAAACTTTAATTAGCTGAGCAGAACATATTAAAAATATTAGGGAGAGTGTGCTTATTCCAACTGCGGACATCAAGAAATAAAAAACTTTCACATTTAAACTGATAGCATTTGTTTATATTTTCTAGGAGACTTACAGTCAATTATATATTTACACCTACAGAAGAAGTCTGGAAAATATCCATCTATAATGCCAGTGGATGTTAAAGCCACATCAATCATATTTAACTAATTTTCTTTACAAACCACTTGAAAACGAATACGCTGTATTCTATTCTGCCTACATCCACATTTCAGCCATCAGCATACACTGAGCTAAATTTAGCCCAATAGCTAATCACCTTATAAAAATAATTTAATTGTGTTATCTGTTGTGGCTAATTCATATGTAATTAATATGTGATGATAGATTTAAGTTGTAGGTATAAGTAGGACAGTATTGTAGGGGTATAAGGTTGCCTAAGTATTTATGAGTGATTAATGTATATTAGGTATATAAGTAAAGTAAGGTTGTAATACAAGACCTGCAGACTGAGACTGTAAGATTTTAGCTTAGCCTCATTAGGCCTTAAGAAGGATTGACATGAGGAGGTGACCCAGGAGTCACCCTGTACCAGTAGACATACAAGATTAGTGTAAAACATGTGCTAATAGGTGATGTTTGGGAAAATATGCCACAATGCACCTGTCAATACCGCAAGATGCCTGATTGTAAAATTCTGCAATAATCACAGATTACCATGGTGACTTGATGATGTAAAATGCTAATGAAAATAAGAGGAACTAAGAGGATAGCGTACGAAAAGTGGGTCACCCCAAATTTTATGGGGTGTAGAAGTCCCAATAAGGGAAAAGGGGTTGGGACCATCATGCATATGCATACAGGTTACAGGTATGAGTGTAACACAGCATAAAAGGGGTTCCCCAGCATGAATAGGGAGGAAGAATACATCAGGAAACCCTCCACAGATGACCACCTATTGAGAGAGTCACCCATCTTTATGGTACCCTTGTGGATGTGAATATGAAAACACTGATGCTGGACATCTTATGGTGTTGCTCCACCTTGTTTATGTATCTATAACTCTGGCATTGAATATCTATGTAGTAAGGTTTTTAATAAAGAGAAGACTGATAACTTGTGAACGCTGTTGTGGTCACTGCTATCTTTCCTAGAGACTCCAGACCTTTTCTAATGGTGGTTCTTGCCCTGCTAATTCCAATACTATAGCACTTAGGGAGTGCAAACCTTTGGCACAGGTTACTATGGTTTAAGATACCATTGGCAATATCAATCCATCAATAATATAAATGCTACTGCCCTCTACATATTCTCTTTGACTTCAGTGGAAATTACATGTTTACAGAAACTTAATTTGTTTTATAAAGTCTAAGAAATTTTTCTTGCCGTTCTAAACATTATGATTTGTCAACAGCATAAGCCCAATGAATGCTTAAAGTTCTTTCAATGCTTTAATTGATCAGTAAAAAAAGTAGTGTTACAAATCCTCTACAAAAATGTACAATATATACAAATTCCATTCAATTTACATCTCAAATTGTATTACTTTCCTTCCACGAAGCTTTGGGGATTTACACCAGTTAAATTAAGATCAGATTTTGACATGTAATCTTTATTTTTACTAGTTGAGATAAATTCCTGGAGATTTCAGATTGTTTATATTTATTTGATTTTCCAAAAAAGATTGCTTTAGACAAGCCGAGTACTAAACCAAGAACCATACAGTTAACTTATAAATCTTATACAGTAATGTAAAGAACTGAATTCTATGAGTAGCATGGGCAGAATTCAGGAAGGTATAACAGCAAAAAGACCTCCTACCAGTCTGACAGAATTGTATTGCCACAGACACATAAGAGACCAAATATTTTATTTTATTTTTTTTAAAGGGTCTCCTTTTGTGCATGGAAATATAACTCATTTAACTCAGGGGGGAGTTAACAACCATCTACCTAAGTGGTGCAGGTGGTATGCACAAAATAGGAAAGCCCTTTAGAGGTTTGGTCTACTAGAATATATACTTAGATAGCATTCAAGTTTTAATATATCTTTGGGATCTGATGTTAATTACTACAAACTCAAAGGATGCTTAGCAACTTGTTGCTGTACTGTTTTAAGTCCCCAGCCTCTAGCATTGAACAAGGATTGTTATTTATTACAGTTTAGAATAAAACAACAATCTTGCTTATCAGGTTGTTTGAAATTCTTTCAATAATCTGTTATTATTATTATTATTTATTTGTATTGCAGTAGTGCGTAGACGCCAGGGCCCCATTGTGCTACTCACTGTACAAACATGTAACAGAGAGACACTCACTGCCTCAAAGAGCTTAAAATATAAAGACAAGACACAACATGTGGATACAATAGACAGACACAGTGAGACTAAGGGTATGTCTACACTACGAGAGTAGTTCGATTTTAGTTAAATCGAATATGTGCAATCGATATTAGAAAGTCGAACGTGTGTGTCTACACTAAGGACAGTAATTCGACTTTGTCAGTCCACACTACCAGGGAAAGCGTCGACATTGGAAGCAGTGCATTGTGGGCAGCTATCCCACAGTTCCCGCAGTCCCCGCTGCCCATTGGAATTCTGGGTCGAGCCCCCAATGCCTTCTGGGTAAAAAAATGTGGCGAGGGTGCTTTTGGGTAACTGTCGTCATCCGTCAGTCACTACCGCCCTCCCTCCCTCCCTGAAAGCGCCGGCGGGAAATCAGTTCGCGCACTTTTTGATCAGTGACAGCGCGGACGCCACAGCACTGCGATCATGGATCCCGCTGCGACCATCGCTGCAGTTGTGGCCGTTCTCAACGCCTCGCAGCTTATCATACACCTTTCCCTGAGGCAGATGCAGAGAAATCAGGCGAGGAGGCTACGGCACCGCCGTGAGGGCCTGAAGTCGGAGAGTAGCACAGAGCTGTCAGAAACCACGAGCCCCAGCGCCCAGGACATCACGGTGGCAATGGGGCATGTGGATTTTGTTGAACGGCGATTCTGGGCCCGGGAAACAAGCACGGACTGGTGGGACCGCATAGTGCTTCAGGTCTGGGATGAATCCCAGTGGCTGCGAAACTTTCGCATGCGGAAGGGTACTTTCCTTGAACTTTGTGACTTGCTGTCCCCTGCCCTGAAGCGCAAGGACACCCGCATGCGAGCAGCCCTGACTGTCCAGAAGCGAGTGGCCATAGCCCTCTGGAAGCTTGCAACGCCGGACAGCTACCGGTCAGTCGCGAACCACTTTGGCGTGGGCAAATCTACCGTGGGGGTTGTTGTCCTGCAAGTAGCCAAGGCAATCGTCAAGGTACTGCTGTCAAAGGTAGTGACCCTGGGAAACGCGCAGGCCATCATAGATGGCTTCGCCGCGATGGGATTCCCAAACTGCGGTGGGGCTATAGATGGGACTCACATCCCTATCCTGGGACCGGGCCACCAGGTCCCATCAATAGAAAGGGCTACTTTTCAATGGTGCTGCAAGCACTGGTGGACCATCGGGGACGGTTTACAAACATCTACGTCGGATGGCCGGGCAAGGTTCATGACGCTCGCGTGTTCAGGAACTCTGGTCTGTTTAGACGGCTGCAGGAAGGTATTTACTTCCCAGACCACAAAATAACTCTTGGGGATGTGGAGATGCCTACAGTCATCCTCGGGGACCCAGCCTACCCGCTAATGCCCTGGCTCATGAAGCCCTCTACTGGCGCCCTGGACAGTGAAAAAGAACTCTTCAACTACCGGCTGAGCAAGTGCAGAATGGTGGTGGAGTGTGCTTTTGGCCGTCTCAAGGGGAGATGGAGAAGCTTACTCACTCGCTGTGATCTCAGCGAAACCAATATCCCCATCGTTATTGCAGCTTGCTGTGTGCTCCACAATCTGTGTGAGAGCAAGGGGGAGACCTTTATGGCGGGGTGGGAGGTTGAGGCAAATAGCCTGGCTGCTGATTACGCCCAGCCAGACAGCCGGGCGATTAGAAGAGCCCAGCGGGACGCGCTGTGCATCCGGGAGGCTTTGAAAGCCAGTTTCAAGGCTGAGCAGGGTACCCAGTGACTTTTAAGTTTGTGGACACAGAGGCAGAACTTGCCCCCGTTTCTTTACCCAGTTGCCGTTGACTATCCTCTCCAATTACATACCCCCTTCACCCCCTTCCCAAAAAATAAAATCTGTTCTGTTTTGTTAATGGACACCGTTGTCTTTATTACTGTTTTCGCGGGAATGTTTTAAAGCTGGGACGCAGACTGTGGCGGGGGGCGGGTTTAGGGTTGTGATGCAAATGATGCTTCTAAACTCCAGGAATGACAGGCTCCGCGGTGGTGGACTGGTTGTTTCAACGGAGCCTGCCAGCCCTCCTGGCCGGGACTGCGTGTATGTGTCGGCTATGTGACTGTCTTGCAGGGGGAGGAGGGTTACAGATCCCCTGCTGCGCGGCTCTGTGATGCAGGGTAAGGACCGCTGCATAAGATCTGTAACTGCCCTCCCCCGCCACCAAGTCACAGAGCAACACCACCGCCCCCACCACACAAAACATGAAAACCACCTCCCAGACTGACCAGGATAACTAGTCACTGCACTGTATATGTGCCCTGCTGCTGCACCTGCCCCCTGCTAAAGGTGACTGTCCTGTCCAATGACCAAGCCCCTTCCCCCCCCTTCAGACAGACTCCCCTCCAAAAGAAGAGGATGGAAACAGAAATGAACAGAAACGTATTCTTTATTAACAACCGCACATGGAACGGGGGGGTGAAACTTGGACGGGGTCTTGTGTGAGGCGGGT